ATGAATTAATCGCTCTACTGTTTGACCTTTTCAAATAGTGGTTAATTGACTACCTCCTTTATTATAAATCCAGATCAATTTCGTAAAGAAAAAATAATTATCAAGCAAAACCTTTAAAAAATCACACATTGCTGTTTTGGAGTAAAAGTTTACTGCACACGTGTTTACATCATCCCTAACTCTCAATCAAGATAGAAAAAAAAACACAATAGTCTATGCTTAAGCTTGTATTTGATGTCGATCCTTCCGATATAAAGCACAACGTAAACTTAATACACTGTCTGTGTATGTATTGGGAAGAAGCTGTAATTGCTGTAATTTTTCCAGAGAGTCAGCGAGGTGAAAATGTTGGAGTCTGTTTCAATTAATTATGTGAGTTGTTGGTGTCCGTCTTCGGCGTTAAAATCACAATTTGCAAACATGCCGTTGTAAAAAGTACGGTGAAGTAATCAATAAACATTACACATCTCTGAAATGAATCTGTTGCATATGAAAATTATGAAAAAAAAATGTGTAGTACGGTTTCAGATTGAGTCAAGACATTGTCTTTGTGTCTCGTTATTTGAAACAAGCTCTTGCACTTGCTCCGCGCAAGGTGAAGTACAATCTCTCCAAAGTATCGCATCCTACAGGCGGTGGTCACCGCATTGCCAGTTCTTTGGATAATGACATTCCGAAAATTTATTTTTCCGAACTCCACAAACAAGCCTTAGTTAAATAATCGATACTAATCGATCGCTGATGTACCCCCTGGTTGTTCAAAGGCGGATAGGTGGTGAGGGAGAACTATCAATTATAGGGCAATGAATTATAAGGAAATTGAAAAGCAATTATACTTCCGACCTGGGAAAATGGAAAATCACATTTAATTTACAAATATACTTCGTTGGTGTATATAAATTAATCGCTCTACTCTTTGACCTTTCGAAATAGTGGTTTATTGACTGACCCTGAACAATTTCGCAAAGAAAAAAATACCATCTTCAAATCCTTGGACATATAATCACATATTACTGTTTTGGAGTAAAAGTTAATGCATATGCGTATTTAGTCATCCCTAACTCTTAATTAAGATAGAAAAAAACATATAGTGTATTTTATATATACATTGTTAAAATATACATATATATATATATATATATATATATATATATATATATATATATATATATATATATAGTAGTAGGGGCATTTATATCGAGATATGAAGGTCAATTTAGTTTTAAATGAATAGGAAGGGATTGTTTTTAAAGATGCATACAAAGTCAATTTTTTGTCACAAATGCCAGCATATAGTTTCAAGTAGTATAACTAAGAGAATTACCAAAATGCATTGTTTAATTTTACCCGAAAATGATGTTTGAACAGATTTTTCTGCTGGCATTCTAAGCTGTATGTCAATGGGGCAGGAAAGTAGGTCACGGAAGTAGGTTAAATTTGCAACCATATATTTAAAGAAAGGAGCAGTCTGAAGGTCTTTTATGGTTGATGGAGTGGTCTATTCAGTTTATCGCTTGGTATGTCGAATTTATTTAAGTCATATAAGAATCTAGTAGAAGTGGTTTACATGTGTTACTGGGAATCCACACTCCACCGATGCTTGGTTCGTATGTAACTTTAAAGGTTCCTCTGTTAAAGCAATAAAGTAAATAAACATTGAGACACTTGTGGAAAATACTTAAGTTCAACTTTTATCTTAAAATATAGATTAATGATGGTTATTCTTGAGGAAATTTGCGAGTCCAACACCTCGCAAATTGTCCCGTTATTGTTTTTTTTACAATTAAATTGTTTTGGATCAGGTTTTAAATAATTAAACAGCAACGCTCTTTCAGCGCAGATTCTTGTTCAGACGAACAAAGCTTTTAGACTTTTAATTACATTACCTAATGCGTCTTTCATGTTTTGTTCGGTACGTTATTCAAATATTAAATAGTCAATTAGCCAAACAATGATCGTTTTTATATCAGTAATCGCTGCCAGCACTACTATAGATTTCCTTTAATTGCATGCAGTCAGTGAAAATTTTTTTTTGCCTAATGAAAGAAAGGTACAAGTTGCGATGCAGGTCAATATTATTTGTTGAATAACTTTCGAGTTTTTTAAGCTATAGCCTCGCAGCTCGATAAACTATTATGTTTACTTCGATCAAACATTCCGTCGCCAGACACTCGCCATGAACAAAAAACATTGGTATATCACAGTTGTCCTAAAATTGGGATCTTCTGGATACAGGACCAACTTGAAAGAAAAATAATATGAATTTCTATCGGGCATCACAATATAAAAAATAATTCCATGCTGTACATTTAATGAAAAACACATTTGCAATCGTCAACACTATTAGCATGTGCGGCACCAACAGGAAAAAAAGATTTACATGCACAATTCAACTAGGTATGCTGTCCACAAGTGCAATTTTGTTTTGGGGATTCAGACTCAGCCTTGGGCAAGGCCTTGCTAATTCCCTCAAACTTGTCGGTGTGAGTTATTTTCTCTTGAATGACCCCCTCCCCATTGGCCTCTGGAACAATGGGGAGCGCTTTTAGATTGTGGTTCAGTGAGCAGATTAAGGTTTTCGTCGATTAACCCCCTCGCTAATTGAACCAATGGGCAGAATGCGTAAGATAGAAATGTTATTCCATCACCCGCAGCCTAGGTTTCTTGAATATATTTAAAGGCACCACCTGGCTCGTCGGCCTAGAAATGGGCACAGCGCCAACTTGACTAAGGTGCAACCTCAAGTACACCAGCATTTTGCTCGATATTATTGACTGAACAAATCCTTATTTCTTAATCTTAAAACCGAAAAAAGACACATCTAGCATACGTACCTTTACTTTAGAGCCACCGTTAATTGACTTGGTTCAAACAATGGAAAATGGTCAGTAAATGATTTTAATTAAGAAAAAAATCCGAGGCTGTGAAAACTTTATTAGAAATAAAGGCAAACTGGGCTTACATATATCATCAGTCTGCACCATAAACGTTTCGGCTTAATGACCATTCGGAACACCGGTTTTTATAAAATCTACTGGTCTTATTTAAATTCACTAGTCTCTATAAAAAAATTCCAATCAGACCGAATATATAATGCATCAATACTAGCAACAGAACGATATATGCAGTGTTCGCTGATGCGTTTATTAGGTCAACAATGTGTTTCTGCTCTGCATTTAGTACATGTAGATGCAGCTAGAACGCGGTGCCACTGTGTCTGCACTATTGGTGTGTTCACCCCTCTCACCCCCCGCCCCCCCCCCCCCCCGCAAAATATATTATACACAACGGTGTTGAGATGGGTGTATAAATTTAACAGATTGAACCAGCCTTACCTATCAAAATGTCCATATTTTATATATTAAACTTTATCATATATTGTACCTGTATTTTATATATACTTTATATTGAATGTCAGGAGCTGTCTTCCAGTTTTATGCTCCTCTGAAAAATAACATCTATTGCTTTTGTCAATTATTTTCATTTTCAATTACTTATAAGTATTTTCTTATATTTCGTACATATCTTGCACTATTTTTCTCAAATAAATCTTGAATATATTGATTCCTCCCGAAATGTACAGACTTGAGCTTTAATATGGAATATTTCTGTTTCAAAGGTATACCCACTAGTAGGTAAAATGCGTCCTTTTTTAAAAAATGTCAGATCTCATAAAAGATATGTGAAAGGAGAAGTGTGTTGTCAGGTATGTCTCCACAAGGAGTTATAAGAGAAGGAGTAGAAACAAGGGGTTTCCTTTCATCCTATCCTCGTAACGGGCTTAATCCTCATAATTACCCAGCTTGTGGTCTTAGGGAGAGCTTGTGCCTAATATTTATTCAAAAGACCGTCCACGTGGGTTGCTTCAGCCAATTGGGATAAAGTCTCGCGAAGTCTCTAATAATCTCACATAGAAAACATGGTGGGATTACAAAAAGGTGTAGAGAGAGATTTCCAGCCTGTACCCAACCATTTCGGGAGATAAATCTCAAATCATGTAAGATACACCTCCGTTTGATCTAGAGCCGATCAGTTATACAAAAATTAGTTTCACATCAAGAATGTATGAGAACAATTTTACAAACCCCCTTCAACGCTAAAATTAGCACCTGTAGAAGTCTCATTTTTATTTCAAATTCGTTTTGTCGTGTAAAGAAAATTTACCTTCATCTAGGAATAACACATTCAATTCACAGCCGTGTGCACAAAATAGTAGAACTTGCAATTTCCGTATGCCAGTCTCGTTTCTTTTTCTTTTTTTTTTTTTTGCACATTATTTCTTATATACCAGGTAGAGAAAAGCTTGCACAGGAAAATTGGGGAAAAGAAAATAAGTTATTGCACTTCGTATGATTCTAAATAAAATTTCATTATATCATATTTTTGGTTATATCTTCGTCTTTTGCATGAGGCCAGCTTATAGTAAACTGATAGTTTTTAAAAATTTAAAAATTCATTAGAAGAAAAAACGAAAGAAATATTTTTATCGATTGATATTGCTTTATTTTAACATTTGAGCAACTTGTATAACATTAACATCTAAAACAAAGTACCAGCAATGAAAATATGTCAATATTGTTACACCCAACATTGATTAAAGCAATGCAAAAATACATGAATGTGGCAAAAATGGTTAGTTTTTATTTTAATGTGGTGATTATTTTATTTCATACTTTAGACAGTTAGCCAATGAACACTAAATTCTCTTTTAAAACTTGGAGCACTCTTCAATTTCAGCCAAAAATTGAATTTCACAAATTTATCTGCGTTCCAGTATCAGTTCATATTTGCATCTGAATTAATTAATCTTTAATAAATAGCACGTACTTGTCTACAAACCATGTCATGTGTGCAAAAACTTGCATATTAAACTAAAAACAATGTACTTTTTGACTTCATACACCTTTCTTTAGGTGGTTCAAACCTAAGATAATATGACAAATTTCAGTACACTGATTACCAATAAATGTTATTATAAGCAACAGCCAGCACAGCTCAAAAATATTTTTTATCCCTTTAAAGTTCGTCAAAAGTTGTGATGGTGCTCATTGACACACAGCATTTTGAGATGAAAGGCACTTCTGTTATATTAATTGCAGATCAAGGAATGGCAAAATGGTTATTTCTGGTCTCAGTCATGTTGAACAAGCCTAGAAAAAATAGAGTTTTTAATAATTATACATAAAAAACTTTACACACAAACATTCCCTAAAATCTTAACAAATAATAAATCACAACCTCTGTTATAGGGAAACTGGTAACTGTAGATTATGTATTAAGGTACTTGAAAGCTTGACTAAAATTATACCAAAACCATCAATGGTTACCTCTTGTGCACTGTAGTTTAATGTTAGTGGTGGTAAGAAAACAGAGCCTTGTGCCTCATCAAGTTTCTGCTGGAAACAATCATTTTGACTGTTCAATAATGGCTACATCTACCAGCAAAACTAAAGATCTTTCACCTGCATTCTCTTCAACCTGAAATGAGTAAGTAAGAAATTCATTACAAAATATAACTCCATATGCTAAACGAAACTCTTCAAACATCATATTGCAACAAAAAAATTGAAAATAAAATCCGAGAGAGAGTTCCCTGTCGTCAAATTTTGGACCCGCCATTTTGAAAGAGTCCGATGAAAAGTTGTCTATTTGAAATGATGTTTTTCATCTAAAGGATTAATTCATTTAATACCACAATGATGTATTATAATGGTGCACGTGCTTAACTAACCAGAAAATCATAAATAATGTGCATACATCACGTTAAAATTACCAAAAAATGTCCCAAACTGTCACCCAACTCTCTTACCAATTTAGGGACCCGCCATTTCGAAAAAGTCCGATGAAAAGCTGTCTATTTGAAACGATGTTTTTCATCTATAGGATTGATTCATGTAATACCACAATGATGTAATGGTGCACGTGCTTAACTAACCAGAAAAACATAAATTATGTGAATACATCCCGTTAAAATTACCAAAAAATGTCCCAAACTGTCACCCAACCGTCTCTTACCAATTTAGGGACCCGCTATTTTTAAAAAGTCCGATGAAAAGCTGTCTATTTGAAACGATGTTTTTCATCTATAGGATTGATTCACGTAATACCACAATGATGTATTGTAATGGTGCACGTGCTTAACTAACCAGAAAAACATAATTCATGTGCAAACATCACGTTAAAATTACCAAAAAATGTCCCAAACTGTCACCCAACTGTCTCTTACCAATTTAGGGACCCGCCATTTTGAAAAAAGGCCGAAGAAAAGTTGTCTATTTGAAACGATGTTTTTCATCTAAAGAATTGATTCATTTAATACCAAAATTATGTATTTTAATGATGCACGTGCTTAACTAACCAGAAAAACATAAGTTATGTGCATACATCACGCAATTAAGAAGAAAAAGTCCTAAACATGGAGGTTCCGCTGAATCGGCCTCAGATCTTCGAGCTAACGCTGCTTTCTGCACAGGCAAATTTGACTGACAGCCACCGTATGAACATAAAACAATGCTCAAAGCATTCTATCACTCTCAATCACCTTTATATCGCTCGGCTTGGCGTTTTTCTAAGTGTAACTTCCACATATACGCATAAACATGAATAAATCAATAAGTAGGCGCACTAGTTCATCTTCTCCGTCTTGAGCCACGCGGAGGATTAGACCAGTTACGAGGATCCAATTTCAAAGGACGCCGCTTTGAAAAGAACGCTGCGATCTGATTGGACGAGAGAGATAATTGATGTCCCGTTTCTACTCCTTCTCTTATAACTTCTTGGTCGCTACTAATTAACTATCATGTCTGTTGCACTGCTGCATTGTGTAATATGCAGTAATTTAATTGGGTAGCGCGCTCCTGTCGGCTGGCAAAAGCTTGGCTTTCGCGAAGCATGGTTCTATCAAAATGGTCGCGCCGTCTACAGGAGATAATTGCAGTACGCGGTAGACGCACACGCTGTTTGGCACGTGAACTTTAACGAGCACCCCCTAATGCTAATTGTGTGTGAATTTGGTGACATTTGATGACTTCTTTTCAATTTAATAGTCATTTCTTTACATCTGTAGAAGTCACAGTGAAACAGCGGATTTGAGGGGGTACCTCTTATAAATTTTATTAAATGGTATAAAATGAGCATATTTTCACCACTATTTTATATCTTTTTAACCATTAATAATTTTAGTCACGGTATCTGTAATGAAAAGCACTATTTGTAACAATTTACAGCTGTGATGTGAGTAGTAGGAGGCGA